GACACTTACCGTTTTACCGAGTTCCTTCAGTGTCTTGTACGTGTCATACTCTGCAAAGGGAATATTCTGCTTCCTGATAAGCTCAGTTAGACTTTGTGACCGGAGAGCCACCTGTAGGAAACACGGTCAGGTGTCGCAGCCCAAGTACAAGAGAGCCCAGGAGAACCTTTGTACCTAGCGTTATGCTCACCGAGGCAGCTCTACATACACACTTAGTGAAGCTGTTGCACTTAGAAGGCTACATCTACCTGGCGGGTGACTGCAGGCTATGGCTGCAGATGCTGAGGACGTGCTGAGCCAGCTTTGAATTAGTCAGCAGGGATAATTTTAGGGCAGTGCAGAGCTCAGCCCAGGATGCAAAGCTTGCCCAAGAAGCTGAGTAAATGCCTGCGTGCTCTTACGTGGAGCGTCACGCTGCCCTGGCTGCACTGCTGGCTGAAGTTTAATTTCAGATGCTATTTCCCTGTACTTATGCAAAATACCCTAGATGCCATGTGACTTTAGGCAGGCAGATGAATGTTCTGCTGTGTAAGCTTTCCACTGCTCTCCTAGATTTTCATGCCTATAGTGAATTCAGTGATTCATTGATCTCTGTCAACAAGCCCAATTAAAAGAAGAAGCCTAAGTAAAATCATTATCTAAATTTTCTCTTCCGCATCCGCCCTCACAGCCAGAGATGGAGTTAAACACTACATCACAGTCCAAATGGCTTAACAACTCATACTATCTGTAGCTGGCGTGTATCTAGCTGGCTGTTTTAATGAAATACTTACCTCGATAATATCCGTCGCAGTATTTGCATAATATCCTCTTACTTTTGTGATTATATCAGATGGAAACATGGTGCTGGGACCATTCATTAGATAAACCCTCCAAATGGCACCAGCCTGATATTCAGCTATCATCAGAGGAATAAAAAGCAGCAGAGATTTTGGTTAGGGCTTCCGAGGTGTCTGGTACTTGCTGTGCTAGATCACAAGGGGTTCTGCCAGGAATCAGTCCCACAGGTCCTCCAGTTTGTAACCCCAAGAGAGGAACTTTGCTCCAGGGCAGAGTCAACACAACCACAATGACTGAAGGATGCCCAAATCCATGTGCAGGTACCGCTTTCCCCAGCAGATACCCAGAGAGTAGTACACCCTTGGGGGATTTTGTATGTTAGGAGGCTCTCGTGTTTTTTCTGTTTCAAGAGTGCACTGAACCCACAGCCCATGATAGGATTTTGGATGAAAATCGTGGAATGCAATAGAGGCAGAAGCCAAAGCAGCAAACAGGGCACGTGATACTCACAGGAATAGCCGCCGACATGAATGACCTTGCTGTAACGATAGCTCAGCCTGTCAAGTCTGGGGCTCAGTAGTTTAATGGCAATGTTGCAAGCAGCAGATCTGAGTAATAAAGAGTTAAAATCGTATGAAGATAGCTGACTGTGACCAAATTCTTAGAAAACTGCAAAAAAAAATATCACCATTTGCTACTAAAAATGTACTTCTTCCTCTACTTACAGATTATAGAGCTGTGGGATCCTGCCTACTGCCAAAGCCTTCATGTGTGAGTATGTGAAACTGGCTACCTGTAAGCTGGGCTCCGTCAGCAGCGAGCTGGCCATAGCTGTTACAGTTGGAAGAGCAGGCTTGGTTTCGAAGAGGACAACACAAGCCACCATTCGGACGTTAGGAGCAAGCGTGTTGTCCATAAAGACCTGGAGGGAGATCTCCCTTACCTAGAGGAGGAAGATACAACCTGTGAGTACCTCATAACTTCTCAGTGAGAAGTGGTTCCTAAACCATGTGTATGTAATCTGCAGCGAATGGAGAGCAAAACCCTAAACAGAGACTTGCTCATGGGACCTGTCACTGAAAACGAAGATATTTCTGCGTGGACACTGAACAGGGCTGGAAGAAACAGCTGTTAGTAACGGGCCCGGTGTTACCATGGCTAGAGCATCCCTCTTCCCAGGATATCTGCAGGGATGTGGTGATGTCAGGAATTTGCAGTGTGAGCAGGAGGAAGACCAGTAACTGAGAAAGCTCCCCAGAGTTGCGAACATTCCCTTTGTTATCCCTGCATCACTAAGTCAACCCAAATCATACCCTCCAAGACATTTGTTTAAATAATAATTTCAGTTACTTTTGCGGGGTCTTTTCTGGCAATTTTCCTCAAGGCCAACACTGCATCAGCATGAATTCTGCTCGGTAGTGAGGCTGCAGTAGGTGAAAACGTTGGCAAAAACTTCAGGATGCGTTTGATACTGGCTGGCTCTCCCGCGTTGCCGATGGCTTTCAGGGCCAAGGCCGTGTCTTTGGCATTGCCTTTGCTGGCGGCTTCAGTAGCAAGTTCATGGAGTGGCTGAAAACAGAGAAGTCTGTTAATCTTGTCAGGTAACGATGCATAAAAATACACCTTGCCATAGCAAACAGAACATCTGCTGGTGCAAAACCCTGAGTAAAGCCGTTCAGATTTTTTTCCCATGAAAAATCTCACCATCATTGTCCGGATGCTAAACATGGGACATACAAGCGAACTTGGTTTTCTCTTTACACAGTGTTGTAACTGATTTTAAATTGTCCCTGAGCTTGAGTGTTGGAGATACTCCTAGGCAGATGTCTGCACCAGAGTGTCAGTTGTGAGTTTGAGAGCAGCCCCGAGCAGATGTCTGGTTCAGTGGTTCCCTGGGGTGCCTGCACCCCCCCTGCCCGCCTGCAGCCCCCGGCGTCTGTGCAGCGGCAGGACAACACTTGTATAGATGACCTTTAAGGTCCCTTCCAACCCAAACCATTCCATGATTCTATATTTTTCACTTCCTATAGTGATAGCAAGTTTACAAACAGTTTTGCTGTTCTGAGAAGACAAATTACCCTTCTGGTGGCGTGGCTTTGTTTCACTCTTTTTTGGAAGATTTAAACACATGTCAAACCCCAGCAGGCCATCTCAGTGCCGCGGTCCTTCTGAGTAAGGAACTAGAGCGGCATAGTCCAAGGACGACGTCCTGACTGTTGCTGACAGTGACAAGCGATTACGTAGCAGGGCCTCTTTGGAAGCCCTCACCTATGACATATCTAAAGCTTTGCTTATATTCACACTTCAGTGCCTTTTTAATAGATTTTTTTTTTTTTGAAGTACACTTTACGTAATGCTAAAGTAGAGAGAAGAATCATAATTATTTTATAAATTTGTCATACCTAAACTCAGTTTCAGGTTGTTTATGGGATCCATTATCCCCACAGGCTTCTGCCTCTTACATTTGAAATTCTGAACTGTTAAGACCAAATTTTTCAAAGGCATCAGCTCCGTGTTTCATTCTGTCTTTGCAATTTTGCAGACAAACACAGCCAAGAGTGAGGCATATAAACAGCTAGTTACCTAATTGCCAGCATTGTGAGAGCTAAACTAGAGGCATTTTTAAAAAAATTTCTTCACCTCTTATGAATAAGAAATAAGAGTCACCTACCTGAAGAAGTTCATTTGGACAAAATGAAGACTGAGCACAGTATTTATTTACCATGCTACCATATCCCAGGTAAACAAGTATGCGAGGCATGGGTGCTTTCTGGATCTGGGGACAGGTCAGAAAAGTCTGCAGAAGAAAGGAGTAGCAGTCGTTAATGTTTCTAGGCATTAGAGCTGGTATTTAGTGAAAACTACATTTGAGAAATAAATAGATAAAATTGCTTTGATTTTTCCTAAATATTTTCAGAAGTTAAATCAAATGCTAGTCATTCAGCTACAATAAAAGTAAATAGGCTCGCTCCAGTTATACTGTATGTACTTTAGATTTTGGTTACATTATATTATTTTCTTGATTTTGTGTATATTTTTTTAATTATTTTGGCAAAGATAAATCAATAACAATTTTCCTAGGATGTGTGGGTTTTAACATCAAATATCAAAGCCATTAAAAAATTTTGTCAACAAGCCTTTGGAAACATTTTCTAAAGCACTCCCTGGTTTTTTAATACCTTGTATTTTACAAAAATAGAAGGAAATATGTTGCCTCTTTTACTTATAATCATGTGGATTCACCTTTAAAAAAGGAGTGAGAAGGCAATAGAAGGAAGAATGATCTGTACTCACTGAGGCAACTGCAAGGGTTTGCTTGTTGGGTGTAACGAAATGGAAGGCGAGAGGGAGAGTCGCAGCTGCTTCCCAGATGTTCAGCTTCTCATCATGAATTTTTTGCTTCAGGAATCTGAATGTGTCAGTGGCTCCAGCGGCACAGACGGCGCTCAGGAACCAGGGCCTGCCAGGGAGAGGAGGATCCATCGTCCCATTGCCCCGTACGCCCCTGAGCGGAAATCTTGGCTGAAGGCAACACGGGTTACCTGTAGGGAGGGTCACTGGCAAACTGCACCCACACAGACTCAATCTGATCAAGGGTCACTATACGAAGAAGCTGGACCACTTGTAAGAACTTGGCTGAAGCTTCTTTAGTGGCTTCTTCCTCGTTATTCTGAACTAATTGCCTCAGTGTTTCTGTTAACTATGGGAAAAACAGACAGTTGAAAGGATCCATGTCAAAATAATTACGTGATGACCTGTTAACCTTATAAATAATGAAAGAATATGAAAAGTAAGCCTCTAATACCTGCAAATATGGATTTTTAATCCTTATTAGAGGAAATGGCATCTGGAGTAGCTCTCCTGAGAACTGATAACGAAGACTCCCCTGGTTTTGCAGCTGAGTTTTTGGTGGACTGATGGAAGTCCTTTTAATGTTGACCAAAGACAATTCTTGTCTTCAAGGGAGAGAAAGAAATGGATCAGTAGCCTTCTAGCACACCGTGTGAGTGGAGGACATGTACAGCTGTTGGACCTGACTGAGGGATGCCCAGGGGGACCTTTGCATTGACCACAACCCGATCCATTTTGCATTTCTCCATTTATGCATTGCTCAGGATTATCTGGAAATGTCATAGGACTGGCGAGAGCTTTCACTGGAGCTTGCCAAAGTCTCAGAGAGGTTGGACAAATGTTTCAGGTGGCCCAGCAAAACCCCCAAATTGCAGGGCACAGGACCTGGCTGGGCATCCTGAGGGAAGCACGGTGCCTTGGCCCTTCGCAGCCCATGGGCCAGATGCTTCTTGTTCGCTCACCAATCAACATTAAATATGTTTTAGGCATCTCCTCCTGGCTCCGATAATCACAGCTACACTAAGGATGTGCACGGCGCCTACCTTGCCTCCGTGACTGCTGCCCCATTAGGTTCATTGAAGGGAGAGATCTGGTACACCTGCTCAGACGTAGCAGACGTCATCAAGACCCCGCTGTCATCATACTTCATCTTGTAAGCAAACATCACCATGCCCTTAATGTTTCTGACTTTCTAAAAGTGCAAAGAGACCCACTCAGAAATACAAATGAGCGATAGTTAATTACCACAGATGAGCCAAACTCCCAAACAGCATCAGTGCGCTGCATGAGTGTTTAGCAGAGGGTCATGCCCAAGCGTGGCAGCAGGGCTCCGTGCTGCTCGTACCAGGGGGCAGGTGGGGCAGGGACGGATGTACGCCATTCCCATGTTCTTCACCGCTTTCTCCTGGCAGTCTGTCAGGTCCTTGCTTTTGGAAATGGTGGCACGGTTATTCTTGATGTCGTCCCGGATGACGTATCTGGTTTGGCAGATGCCTTCAATACCAGCCTGTGAGTATTAATTAAACGCAATGAACTTTCCTTTTGAAATGACCTTGAAACAGCAATAAGTAAGTCAAAGAAAATTGCCTAGGAAGTGTATGTACAGGCAAGTTACTATATAATAAAATGAGAATAAAAGTAAAATCAGAATGGAAAAAACAAACCTCCTGTAGTTCATACACATTTTGTGACTTTTTGATGGTTATCTGCATCATGTTCAGGATCCCTCTCACTAGGTTAGTGCACAGGATGGGACAGTCCTCAGGGGCGTAAATACTTCCAACCCTTCCCTCAGTGTACTCAAACTTAAAGGCTTGGCTGAAACATGCAGTGATGGTCTCTGTGAGCCTCGAAGATGGAGTGAAGGGGTCTGTGGGCCAGAAGCCATTGTATTCCTCCAGCTTTGGAGAGCGAATCTGTGAACAAAATTAGGAAAACTTTCATCCTGTTCATTTGGTTTGAAACAGTGCAATAACAGGGAAACTGGGCACTTCCAGTCCATGGCTGGACACAAGTCCCTTGTCCAACACCACAAGAAACGTTTATCTCCTCAGACTCTTGTGCTGGGCCTAGGAAGCATCCTTGAAAATGCAATTTCCATGAAGGATTTCTGCCAGAAAAATAAGATTGTGCAAGCAGCATTCGAAACTTCAGCAAGTCTGGTGAAGCTTGCTGTGTGAGTGAAACACCGGCTGTCAGCAATCTGTACAGAAGGGATACTCACCCATTTTCCCCAGATGTCCAGTGAGATCTCCCTCCAGCCTGCAAGGCAGCCGAGCCATTGCTCAAGCTGCCTGCCTAAACACACTGGGGACTATTTTGGCTGCTCCTCCTGGTCCAGCATGTCCCAGAGTGCCAAAGCCTCGGTACAGCTGACGGGGAAGCAGAGATGACCGTGGCACCTCGGGCAGGAGATGGCCCAGCGGGAGCTGACTCCTCTTTCGTTGGAAGCGGCTGTCATTTTTAGCTTATCAAGCTGTAAAGCTTGCACACAAGTCCTTGACTGCTACCTAGTGGGAAATGCGTGCCTGCACATACGTATCTAGTCGCATACACATACACGCACACCTCCCACCCTCGTACATAAAAGTACCTGCTCCTGCGTAGAGGGAAATGGTGGGGGGTTAGTGCTCTGTTTCATTTTAGGCATTTATAATCAAAGCTGCAAGGGTGGCTTGCCTCTTGTCACATTTTTCTCAAATTAAATCCTACTCAAGACTACTGTCTGCAATTGCTAAAGTTATAGCAACTCTAGCAAGGTTACACAGAGCCTGCAATTGCAGCAGTGTCTAAAGTTTGATAATAGGCATTCCTTCACGCTGTTCCAGCAATACATGCACAGGGTTAAAGACTGGGTAAACTCCTACGACAAACGCAAAGTGCCCTCTCACAGCTTTCTCCCAGAGTGGTGTCTTCTAGATGCTTTTCTGTGGTCTTTGGTTCCATGACAGTATTTTTAAGCTGTTTGGTTTAATCTTTCTGATGAGTAACAGCGGTTCCAGATCTGATATCATTATGCCAAGCACAAGCATTACCATTAGAATTCTTCACAGTTGAATTACTGCCTATGTGTATGTGAAGAATATCAAAAGGAAGATAATGGAGACAGATGGGACTTCCTCATGTGATAACTGAATTGCAGCTCCAAGCTTTTCCCAGGCTATGGCCCAGGCTGAAAAACATGGATATTTCATGCTCAAATTCTCATTTTCATACTCAAGCTTAGTTGCCTTAGTAAAACCATCTTAAGGACATTTCTTTAAAGCAGCTGCCTGCCATATTTCCGCATGGAGATGAACCCAAGGCGGCTTTAGTCAAGGGGGCTCAGGTACCGATGGCAGCAGAGCTGGAGCAGCTCTGGCTCCCTCCCGCAGAGGTGCGCCTGCGAGGATGCCCGTGGCAATGTCTCTAGGTCACCACCCATAACCCAAAGCAGTTTGGCTACAGCTGCAGACACCCCAGCTGTGCCCTCGGCTCTCCCCCCGCACGGCTTGGGGTTATGGGGTGCAAAGCTCAGTGCCGATGCCCACGTCTCTGCCCATGCTGAGGAAATCATCACTGCCTGAGCAGAGCCACTTCGTCTGACATTGGGCTTATGGGATCATCCCGGGAAGGGCCCTAAGCTTCTGTATGAGCTCAGCATCTTTTTGTCATGTATTTTACCAGCCTGGAGGTATGAACCAAGCATCTGTAGCCGCATGATGTGGGCGGATGGATTGGGTTCCCATGCCCGTGGTGATTTACCTGGAGAAGGTGGTCGCTGCGAGACACACGGCTGATCTCCAGCTTGCAGGTCAGCCTCACCCCTGCCATCGCCAGGCTTCTGCCGGGCAGCCCGTGCAGGATGAAGCTGCTGTAGCCATACAGGTAGGTCTTGCCGGTATGAAAAACGGGCTCTATTGAAAAAAATAAAATAACAGAAACACCTCCCTTGCTCTGACTGTTGCGATGCTCTCACAAGAACCATCCCAGCAAAGAAGAGTAAGGCTGGCTACTGCCAAAAAATTGGTGCAAGCAGTGGGCAAGGCACGGCTGTAGGGGAGGGCAGCGTGGGAGCCGGTCGCTGGCAGTGGGAACACACTTACCGAGGTCCTGCTTCTGACCCCCTGTGTGGGAAGAAAGAGGAGGATGCATGAGAAACCCCCCATCTCTGTGGGCACTTTAATTTATTATTCATTCACTCAGTGTCCTAATGGTTAGCAAACAACCGGTAATGGGCTCCCAGGATGCAACCCACACCCCTGGGACGCCAAGCCCACACCAGCCCCGCTCACTAGCTGCTGCTTACTCTGCTTTGCCCTGCTGCTGAGCTTAGGCACAGAAATCTAATCGTTTACACCCCAAGTCATAAAAGGGCTTCAGCAAATTAAGCTGTAAATATCCCTGAAAGGCCCCGAGGAGATGCAGTTTGCTCAGGACTGCAGTGGCCATCTCGGCTCAGCAGCATTGGTAAAGCTTCAACTTACCCACGAGGACGAGCACCAGGGCCAGGATGAGTCCCTTCATGCTAAAAGCAACTGAAGACTGCAGGGGAAAATGTGCGGCTTTTATAGAAGAATTATTAACAGGCACAGTGAATTTTGTTGAGTTATCAAATTTTTATCAACCGCTCAAACCCTTTGAGAGAGAGGGGGCCGGGGACAAGGTGCTGGCTGTTATTGCTGAGCCAAAACCATCACAATTTTGTTCTCACCTCATCAACGGGATACTCTGGAACTATCTTTCAAAATAAGTGCTTAAAATTATTAAAACATAGTTAAAGCCAAAATATTTCTTGTGTAAGAAAAACTACTAATTGGCCTTATTCATTGGAAGCACCCAGCGCTATTGCAGTCTGTGCTGACTTTGCCCAGGTTATGCTGACCTGACCGTAAGGCACAGCGCTTATCTAACTGATATTGGTCCAGCAGGATTGTGCAAAATCCCCGGGCAGCCCTCCTGTGACACCGCGCCGATACCTGACCTGCTGCGAGCGGGACACGCCGTCACCCGCAGCATGGCTCTCTGGGGATGGGAAATACACCCAGTAACACAAACCTCCTGTCATTGTCACAAAGGCCGTGGCTAAACACCGCTGACGTTCGCCTGCCTTCTCTTACAGGGCTAACGCGTCAGCCCCTCTCACCGGCAGGATTAGCCGCAGAGGGGTGTCGGCGAGGGCTGCCCCTGCCAGGTGGAACGGGGGAGGCTGATGGGCACTGTGGACACAAACCTCTTGGTTTAGGAAGGCGTACAAAGCCTGGTTCACCCAAACTCATTTCATGCCATGCAACAAGGGACGACATCTTCACCCCACGGGGGAGCCCCGTCTCCCACTGGTAGACATTGTTCCCATCCCTTTGGAGGCAGCCCCACAGGTCCCTCCGGCTGCTCTCGGCTCCAGGGTTTGGCCAGCTGCCCCCGTCCCCGCAGCCAAGGCATGGAGCTGGGCTTGCCCAGGGCTGACGGCAGCCACCCGCACTGCCCCGTCAGAGACCGGCACGGGGAGGGGTACGGCAGTCCTGGGACTGAGCAGCATCTGTAGGATTAAAAATATTTTCTTTTCTTACCTGCAAAATATTTTGAAGCATGGCAAATGCTTCACCATGTTTTTACTGGCCTTATATCCTGATCCGGTTTGTTTTAACGTCTTCCCTGGTAAAACTGATGGCACATGATAGAAAAGCTGAGCCATTCACGAAATAAGCAGCACTAGTGAGTTGTGCCGTGTCTTTGGAGATTTGGTGAATGGTGAATGTAGCTAAGTGATTTGACTATACAGCTACTGGCAACTGGTAATTGAGGCTCAAAAGCTAATGTATTATGGCATAACTATACGCAGGTACACGTTTTTTAAAAAAACAACCTCGCGGGCAGTGAGATCTTGGGGTCAGTGGTGGTGCAAGCAGAAGAGTGCTACTCTGATGGTGGATTAAATGCAACAACACTTGTATTCAGTGTCTCAAAATTATAATGCTATATCGCTAAAACACCACACTAGAACAGTGAAACCACAAATCAAAACACTCCTCAAATAAAGGGTTCTCCGGGGGGGCTGGGCTTGGCTGCAAGGGCAGAGTGTCCCCAAAGTCCCTGCCCCCCTGCCCAGGGCTTGCAGAGTCTCGCCCCATCCCACCCCACCACTTTGGGCAGCAAACACTGCATCCCCAGTCAGCCCAGCCCTGCTGCTGCAACGAGGCGGGATCACCTGTGCTTCTGCTCCAGGTGTAGGCAAAACTGGATGGCAAGGGCTTTGCATTTGGGCATTTCTTTATAGAACTGAACCCTCTTATTTTTCTTGACCATTTCTCCAGTATGTCACAAACGCATTCATCTCCCAGCACGTCTCCCCGTATGCTCACAGCCTTTTCATGCTTTGTATTTCTTTGAAAGATATAACCTGAATTAAAACCAGAAAATTTAAAAAAAATTTTTTTTTTTTTTAATAAATTCTAAGAAAACTGTGGGGTGATGAACAACTTTTCTATGTCTGGGACCGGCCCTGGACAGCATTTCCCCCGAGCTGTGCTCGGCCCTCTCCGCAATGGCAGTAGGGAGCAGCAGAGGCTGGCTGAGGCATCCCCACAGCCCTTTGCAAGGTGGGCACCCACGACCCGCAGCCCCCCGCAGCCCCCTGGGTGCTCCCGCTGCCACCGTGGTTGGGTGATGCTCACCCACGGGTTTCCCGCCAGGGTGTCACTGCTGAGCTCATCACACCCCTCGCATCCGAGTGCAGGGGCTGGAAGACGAGAGTCCCTCCAGAACCGTGTGCCAGCCTCAGCAGGTGGGCAAAGAGGAGCCCCACCGGAGCTGGGGGCTCGTGCCAGAGCCCCCCACAGAGCCCAGCGCTGGGGGTCATGCAAAGCCCCGGCTTCTGCTGGATCCGGCCCGGGGTTACCCAGGAAGTCTGTGCTTCCCATCACCGCTCCGTGTGACTTCCAGGCAGGCAGCAAACCCCCCAGCTCACCCCTTTCCTGCTGCCGCCACGCAGTGCCCAAGCACGGCCTGCCATCAGCTCCCCATCCCTTTGCAGTGCGGGGTACCACAACAGCATTTAAACTGTATATAACAATTATGTCTGTCTTTCAGACGTATTCCTTTTGGTACTAAGGACATTACCTTTCCAAACTATAAAACTCACGTACGTGCATCCGTTGAAGGCACCAAAACTGCTGGGGAAAGCAAAACGACACAGTTTTTACAGAATGTTCTCAAGTGTTTTCAAAAACTGGCCAGCGATTACCTCTCCACCCCTTGTGGTCATAGGTAAGTGCCGTTTCTCTTCTTTGATTTCTACGGATTTTAAGAACCACTCCATTCTCTTTTAATTAATTTACTGATGATCTACATTTTTAACAACTCAGTAGGATCACACTCTGCTTTGCATTAACAAACCTAAATATAAAAATGAATGTTTGGTCAGACAGTAATAAAAATAGCTGGATGCATGTGTATTAATTGGGACAACACTAATGAACTAAGGCAGGTAAACCAAGTACAATTTCTATTGAAATTTGTGCAAAACTCCTGATGACTTCAGCTGCCAACAATCTCATTGACATCAATGGTTATGTTTGCACCATCTCCTAAGGCAGCTCTCTGAAAAACAAATTCGCCCAGCACGCATACTTGGCCTGCAAGCACAGCCTTAGGGGCAAGCAGAAAATATCTTCCAGATCCGCTGGAATCCTTTGGGCTCCAGCACTCACAGCAGGCGAGCACATCCCTCTCCGCACCCACGTGGACCCGCAGTGGGTGGGCAGGAGGCAGAGCCCACCTGCTGATGGTGGCCACAGCGAGGGCTCATGCTGGGCACGGAGGCTGGGGCGTCTCGCCCAGAGCACAAAGGTCCGGCTCTGCTTCGGACCCTTTGGCAGGCGGCATATTTGGGCAACTCCACCGTGTCCTCTTCAAAGACCCCTGATTCGCACCATCTTCTCCATGTGGTGCGTCAGGAACATGACGTGGTCTTGACTCCCTCTGAGCAGCCCTGGCCGGTGGCATGAGGTTCAGGCTTATTCGCTGATCACGCTGTTCCCTACGCAGCAGTGACACATCGTTACTGCAAAGCACCACTGCTGCGTTGCTGCTGCACCACGCAGAGGTGATCAGTTCCTGCTCCGGGTGCACAGGATCCCAGCACAGGGAAAACAAGCGGGAGCCTGGTACCACAGCTTCTCCCGCACTACGCAACCCATACCGCCGATGAGGCCTGACGCAGACACGTACCTGCTGCTTGTAGACTCAAGAAGTCTACAAAATGGGGGGTGAGGAGAAACAACACAGAGCTTCTCTTTCCATAACCAGTGAAATAAGAAAGCCTTCAGCAATTTTTCCATGCATGGATTTATTACGAAATCAGATATTTATGGGCAATCATAACAGTTTCTACAATAATAAAGTTTAATACTTTAAATTACTTGGGAAGATTCCACAAATCCTTAAACACTTAATTTAGTATCTCTGTTATCCCTTACAATGAGTTTTCTTATGCCACATAATAAAAACATTAAAGTGTTTCTGTTCTCTCCTGTGCTGCAATGTACAGCTTCATGCACTGCAGTCTTCGTTCTCACAAGAACATGCTACGTGTGCATCAACAGTGTCCTGCATATCCTCTGACTTCTGGTCAAACTTCATCTGTTTGTCTGTCAGGCTGGTAGCCGAATCTGATGGGGAAAAAGAAATGAAAAATAAATAGTATACTTCGGAAGCAGTTTTGCAAGGTACAGCATTTACCATGCACTAGTCATTAATTACATCAGGCTTGGCTTCTCCTCACTGCCTTACATATTTATATTTGTCTAAGTCACGCAAAGATGTTCCAGGAAACCCACTTAATTAATAAGCCTGTTCTACCTTGAAAACTACTACTTCTATGTAGAATTTTATTAATAATACATTTAGGAAAGGATACTGTGATCTTAAAGAAGAAACAAACTTGGAAAACAGACGTGGACCTATCATCTATGTAATCTATATCTATCTAATCTCTTAGAATCTACAATATACCTATAAAAAAGACGTCCTCCTACATCACTGTGCTGGTGTGCAGGAATCCTGTCCACACCTGCCCTTCTATTGCCTAAATCAGCTCAGTGAAATAGGATCATGCCGAAAGGCAGCAATATATAAAAACCTACAAGGTGGGGATCCCCGTTTCAGGGTGCTGCACATGATCAGATGTGGCTGAATCCCCTCACAGCCTGCAATACAGTTTTTTAGCTGAATCACAGCGTTGAGCGTGCTGTTACCCTGCCCTTACCCTGTTAGATCAAAGCACCATGAAGGCGGGCTCCATTTAGGTTTTAAATGCCAGTATAATGAAAAACACAGTAGAATTACAACAAAGAAACATCTCTCTAGCTGAAGAAAATTTTAGATATTAATGAAAATAGGGAAGATCTTCAGTCAATACAGCAGTAAGTCCATCCCTACCTGTGGATATGTTGGATTATTCATATGTTTAAGTGGAATACCTGAGTCAAGGCACAATCTATTTAGACTTTTGTGCAGCTCCTATTCAGTAGGATTGCTGTTGACTTACCAGCTGGGAGACAGTGGAATCCAACAGTGACGGGAGTAGTCTTGGTGGCAGAGCATCCTTTCACACAGCGCAGCACGGGCTCTGTAGTATAGCACTTGGACTCTACACCTGTGAGCTGAACTGTCTTCTCAAGCTTCACAAACGAGCGTCGCAGTTTGCAGGCTGTAACACAATCGTTGGCAATAGTTTACGTGCTTGTGTACAAAATCTTCAGGTCTCCCCAGACTGACCCATCTGCCGATGTCGACAATTTGCAAACAAATTTCCTCTATGAAAACTATATTTTGATCATAAGGAAAGCAGTATCCCTGACTGATAAACTTTTCAAATCAGATAATTAGATATGGAGCTACAGAAAGTTAATTTCAAATGCAACTGCTTTGTTCACAGATTAGCATGTAGAAACATAGTCTGATATACTTTCTAATAAACATTTTGCAAAGTAAACTGTCTCACAGAATAACTGCAAACCCACATTCGAAAGCTTTGAATATTCAGCAATAGAAAGAAAGGGGGGGATT